AGTTACTCAGAAACTGTAAGAAGTTAGTTTTTACTCCTTCAAAAAGTAATATTACTTTAAATTAACAGTCAGAACTGCAGAAAAGATCAGTTGTGCCAACCTGCCCGCCATTCAGGACTCATATCCAGATCCATCTCACAGCGGACACAACCCGGTCCAGCTTCTCCCCTCTGGAAGGAGGACAAATCACTGAAAAATGACATCACAAAAAGAAAGGACTTTGATATGAACTGTGACACTAGTGAATATCAAAGTCCTTTCTTTTTGTGATGTCAGCGTTCAATTATTGTCCTCAATTCTGTATCATATTTTCTTTGGGGCAGCGAAGGGAAGCCAAGACGATCAGACTCTGGAGCAGTTTCTATCCGCCTTCACTCTGATGAACAGTTGACTTCAGACACGACGCTGACTCTATAGCCGCTTTTCCACCGCACGGTTCCAGCTCGACTCCCCTCGCCAAGTTGTACCTGTAACCAGGTACTTTTTAAAACGTAACGTGAAAACAGACAGACTGCTGATTGTTCAGAGAGAATATTCACTATTAACAGCATCATCATTGCTGCGCCAGACAGAGGCCAACAACAGGAAGTTTTATATTTTACAGTTTTCATACATTGTTTCATCACTAAATCCACTTCTGAGAAGTTTTGAGCTGAGAAATCAGCTGTGTAGATTTCCAATATTGACAGTTGTACGAGAAGTGATGGCGGAACAAAAATGTGCTCGAATATTTTCGGAGTTGAGGAGCTCCGCAGGTGGCGGCGGGGGAAGCCTGCTGTGACCCGCGGGAGGAGCGTGGGAGGCCGGCCAGCCGCCCAATCACAGAGCCCTCTGCTCCCGCCGTCACACAGACCGCTGTAGCGACAACGGCAGAGGAAAACACAGCTGGAAGGTTTTCATGCCGCTTATCTGTCTTTACATCCTGAGGAAGGTTGAAACGTTTTAACTTAAATCAAGACACAGCTGTGTGTGTGTGGGTCGTATTGAACAGTACATTGAAGCTGTTGCGTGTGGCGTCGCTATTAAGACCAGCTACATTGAGCAGAACCATCTCTGGGTACTACCAGCAATGGAAAACAGGACGGCGGGCCAAAACCGAGTCGAGCTGGTTCTGGAAACAGCATAACATCCACCTGATATTTAATACTTACTAGCAACTGAGTAGCTCTCGCTCCCATCATGTACATAATACTGCACAATGTACTTAATGCATGAAAATATGTATTTATTCCAGCATCCTTTTCACTACACTATTGTCTTTATGTCTACAAATGTTTTTGTTTGCGATTACTTTTTTGTACACCGTCTTTGTGTTTTTGTTTAGCTTGCTGTCTTGTACAGTGATGTAAAACCGAAGTCAAATTCCTCGTATGTGTACACATACCTGGCCTTTAAAGTGATTGTTATTACCGGGTATTAAGAGTTAAATTAGTTACGTTACTCCTTGCAGTACGATATTACTGAATCAATTTTACTGGAACAAAGTTTAACCTTCAACAATCTGCCAAACTGAAAACACTGACGCCATGTTTAGCTTTTTGGCTAGCAGCAGACTTGTGGAAATTGAAACCCGCCAAGCGCCAAATGCGGGTTGATTTTCCGCTTGGCAGCTAAATGTTGGAAGGTTACTCGCTACAATGGCGGTTAAAAGTATTCCGCATGATAACGCCATTTAATATCGATTTGACAGTAACTAACAGCAGCCCAGCGTTCCCGTTTGTTGTGTGTCGCACTTAACGTGATCCCCGCTGTACCAAGGGATCCATCATCGTGTAAGATTAGGGCCATTCGTTGGTTGTTGTTTATGTTAGTTTCATGTTACTTGTGTTTGATTGGCGTGGATTTGTAAGGGGGTGTGTGTTGGGGGGACAATGGAAAGAGATCCCGCAATAAACGAAAAAAAGAATGGCCGCCAACAAGCAGCATTTGCTGATTCATACTGAACAAATGTCTGGAGCCAAACAGCGCTCCAGAAAATAATGTAGTAGCTACCACCGTAATGTGGTGACATTTACCAGGTGTAAAGTAACCAACCAACCAGCAAGACGGAAAAATGCATGGAAAAAAAAAAAAAGGAGGCTGTGTCAGAACCAGGAGGCCAGACTTCCTGGACTGTGTAAAGGGGGTGATTGTAGAAAGTGAGCAGTCTGATGAGGAGGTTACGTTGAGTGATAAAGCACGATTAAGAGCGAGCAGTGACGAGATTTAAGTAGAATGATCAATAAGTCTCTTGTAAATTTACAAACAATTCACTGTTATGTCTTAAGAGGCCTACATTTAATAGCAATATTATAATTTTGCTTCATATTTCACTCTGGTTACTTGGATTAACAACTGTAATATTATGGAAATAATAATCTCTTACACTACTAGTAAGTGGGGAAAGCAATAATATAGCAGTATTACTGCCCAACACCGCTAATGATATCCTACAACTGTACCACAGGCAGAGTGGTACGGTCAGGGTTCAGCTCCTCGCAGCCCAGATGCAGTCTCCATGCTCCGGTAACACTCTGACATGCGTCGCCGGTTCCCTCCGCTAATGCTCCAACCGCCACATTAACATAAAGAGCTCCAGGTGAACTGTGCGGCCTAGTGATCAGGAATTCCAATCGCACACATGAGGGCTTCCTGAACGAATGTAAAATGGCCTTTTTTCCATTTCCCAAATCAGATTTCACACTTCCTGGACAGGTTAAGTGTGGAGTCAGTCGTGGCAGCCGGAGCCAAGCCCTGCTCCTACTGCTGTTCCCTCACAGCACAGCACTTTGGCACACCTTCAAACAAGGGATGAATATTTAAATATCGCTCCCGCAGACATACATTAGAGAGGGCGGGACTCTTCTGTCAAAACAAAATAGAGAGTGAGCCAAATGCAAAGGGAAAGAAAGTCAAATAAACCCACGATGCAGTTCATCTGCCAAATGGCAAACCATGCAGGAGGGAGTACGAGTGACAGGAAGCAGCCGAGTGTCAAAGTAGTAACAGCTGTTACAATGAAACCCCAGAGATGAACAGTGTGGGTGCATGTAGACGCTTCTTTTCTGGGAGCAGGTTACATTCTCTAATGGCGATTAGGTGTGGGGATTATGATACGACACCGGAGATCCAGAACAGATATTTTGATTTCAATCAATCAAGCTCTGATAAAAACCCGCCACACACCACCTGCCTAGCGCCAAACCGCACACAGACACAGTGAAGAGACCAGCTGGTGAAGACAAAGACCAATCAGGCGCACACAAACACTACTACACTGTGTCTGCTGGTCATTAAAATAGGCATTTGCTACCAAGGTCACACCATAGATTACTAGGTGATAATATGTCGGTGTTGTGTTTACAGCTCATTGCACTGCCCCCAAGTGGCCAAATAAATAAGTATACAGCAGGTTTGACAACAGGAATCCTGAGATGTTGTCCTAACACCCAGCAGGTGTCCAAGAAGCTTGCCTGAATAAAAATAAATAAATTGGCTGGAATCTGGATTTAAATCAGGAACGATCTGATCAAAGAATACATCAGGAGGACTGAGAATCTGGGCACTCTGTAAAAAGTATTAAGACTCGATATCCAGTCAGTAAAAGTGTGCAGAGCTCAACTGAAACGACTACCACACCTCTGTAATTAGAGACACAGCGTTGGTAGTAATTTGTTTGTCTGCATCTTATTTGGTCATGTTTCAATCTCAAAACTACAAAAATCCAGCGACAGCCAGTGTTGAGGTTAGAGACGCACTGATCCAATACTGATATCGGACCAATACCGACTCAAACAGCTGGACTGCAAATTGGTCACAAGGGGGCCCGATCTGTTCAGTTACGCCTGGTAGACCAACATTTTTTACAAAGATGGAAAGCATTGTTTAAGTCAAGCCTGATGTTGCCTTACATATAACAGAAGTATTCAGTCTCCTCCTGGTACTGGATCAGTACTCAGCATCGGTTGACACCCAAAGCCCAGGTATCGGGACTGACAGAGCCTGATCGGTGCATCCGTAGTTAAGGTTTATGTCAGCACTGATTCATGAGCACTGTCCCCTGTAGATAAACTAAATCTCAGCACCCTGAGTTGCTTTTCGATCACACATGAAACAGCCACAAACACACAGGCAAACAGGCACTGACAGACTCGGGGTTTGACATAACACAAACGTGAAACAGTCACACCTTCCTCTATCTGTTTAGCATTAAAAGCCCCACACACACAAAAAAAGCCATCCCTTTCTGTGGAAGTGAAGGCGTCCTGAGGCATAATGTGCCAAAAACCATGAGCAAGAATTTAAAATAAAATGACTGCTTCAAGAGTTATGAGTGAATTTCATTAACGGCATCCTAACAACAATAAATCAGTATTTCTGTGATTATGCTGAATTAATTGTCCCAGCCATTAAAGTATTTGTCTTTATTGATAAAAACTAGCTCCTATCTGAGCCTCTGCTGCCGTTTGTGCTGCAGCTTTTATTGGAGAATTCCCAGTATGTGTGGTTACTGTGTATGGTGGGAAAACAGTGCAGCACTGAGCAGAGTTGTACTCTGCTCTCATCTACAGCAGCTGTATGATTGTCTTTTTAATATGCAGGAACTAGGTCATCAGTCATTAGCAATTTAAACCAAATGTTTTATTAATTAATTGCATATTTGAAATAGAAAAAGATTATTGAATTACTAAAGTGATTTTGCATGGGGTGGTGTGTGTGTGTGTGCGCTCTGGTGGGGTTTCTGAACATGGCTCAGCACATAAGAATGTAGCTCAGACCTTTTCCAACACAGCAGTCACATGGACCTGGCTCTCTCTCTCTCTCTCTCTCTCTCTCTCTCTCACACACCTCAATGATCAGAGACATGCCCATAATCAATCAAAAGCCGAATTACAGACATTATTTCTCTGAGATTTAAACTCTTCAGCTCAGTCAGACCCCTCCGGAGTCAGATCTGAGTGTAAAACACAAACTGGCTGCTTCTGGATCAGAAACAAAAAGGCAGAAAGTGTGGATCTCACCTCGCCTCTGTCTTTAGTTCTGAAGGTTGTAACTTCCACTGTTTGTTCTGAGCCGGGAATCACTCCATAAATCTTAATCCGCGGGGTTTGTAAACCAAAAATGCATCCAGAAATCAGGAGAGCTCTGCAGGAGGAGGTGGCATTGCCTCCAATCCAAAGGTGTGTGAGAAGCACTCACATTAACAGCTCTGCAAAACTGTCCTCAAACACACACAGCGAGGGAAGCCAGGTGGTGGAGCAGAGACGCCGAGTGAGACTGCAGAGCTCCAGAGGAAGAGGCCGGGTCCGTGCACGGTTCCCCCCCGGGACGGTGCGCCCTGCCTGGGTTGGAGGAGCGAGGACGGTGCCGCTGTCAGAACCTGTCTGCGGTTCTCAACAGTCGTGTTTCTGTCGGTCTGCTGTTCATCTGTGAGCCGGTCGGTGCTCGCTGTGAGGAGGACACACAGTCCGCTCTCTCTGCCCAGCTCCTCCTGACAAACGAGGATCACTGCAGCAGCACCGCCCCCCCACCAGGATAAACCCCGCCCTCCCACAGGGGCTCAGCCAATACCAGAGGCCGCCTGGTCTGACTTCCTGCCCCCTCTCCCTCCCTCTCTCTCTCTCTCTCTCGTTTGCCAAAGACTCAGCTTCACACCAGGAGCCAATCACAGATATCAGAATCAGATTAATTGCCAAGTAGTTTTACACATGCAAGGAATTTGTTGTGGTATTTTTGGTACAGTGAACAAAGTAGGTTGAAAACAAATACTGCAGGGCAAGAATCCGAAGCATAAAACTGACTATAAGATACGAAAAATATAAAAGAATAATAAAGAATATGTAGGTATGGCTGTTATGTTAATAACAGTTTGTGCAAAATATTTTCACGAGGTTTATATGTGCAAAAAATGTACAGTATGAGTACAGTGTACTGGAAAAGGGGGGGCCATGTTGTTCAGCTGCAGATGGAAAGAAACGGTTCTTGTGGCCTGAGGTTTTGGTCCTGATGGACCATCGCCTCGTGCCAGAGGGGAGTGTCTAAAGCAGTTTGTGTCCAGGGTGGGACGGATCAGCAACAATATTTCCTGCTCGCCTCAGAGTCCTGGAGGTGTCCGGGTCCTGGAGGGATGGAAGATTGCAGCCAATCACCTTCTCCGCAGAGCGAACGATGCGCTGCAGCCTGCCCTTGTCCCTGGCAGTGGCAGCAGCGTACCAGATGGTGATGGAGGAGGTGAGGATGGACTCATCCAGCGCACCATCACTGACTTTAGCAGGTTGAACTTCCCCAGCTGCTGCAGGAAGTACATCCTGCGTGATGATGATGATGATGATGCCGCCTATGAAGCTCCTCTCTCCGCAGACTCCGCAGCTCCTCAGCTCCTCTCCACTGTCTTAACAGCATTGAGCTCCAGGTTGTTCTGACTGCACCAGGTAACCAGTCAATGTGCCACCTGCAGTCTCTGGGGTGGGTAGTTATTGAAGGCCCCGGGCCCCTGCTGAGGAGGAGGGGGAGGAGGTGGAGCTGGTGAACTGGAGCTGGTCGAGGGAGTCACTGGGGATGGTGTCAGATCTGTCCCATTGTATAAAAGTAACTCCTATTGATCAGTTGTGTTTGATTACTAAAGATCAGCAATAGTTTAAGAGGGATGGGGTTCTGTTGGAGCAGGGAGACGGGGTGAGGTTGCTACGTGCGCATCAAATTGTATTTGGTACATTTTGCATAACTCTTAAATACCAATAAAAAGACTTTGAGCAAAAAGAAGATTAGGAAAAGATGGAGGTCAATGTTGATTTTGAAGCATGAGATGGAACATGTGAATGTTTTCATTATTTAGCCTGAATCACAACCTTTCCTCAACCTTAACCAAAACTTTGTATTCGACCTCGAAACAAGTGGAACACTAAAAGAGAAAAGTTTTAGATTATTTTCTGCTTTTGGACTGAAAACAAGCTTAGAAAAAAGAACAGTGAGAACCATTAAGTGAGACAGGCCTCTTTACAGACAGGAAAGGAGACAGAGTTTGCCAAGGTAAACGGAAAACCTGCGGGAACATGAGAGTGTAGCCAGGCAGTCCAAAGTGTGAGGAAACTACCAGCAGCTGCAGTCTGAGAGCAGACATCACACTTTAGCTGTCATGTTTAGATAAATCTTATCTCTGTGAAGCATAGGAAGCATCCTAACTCTGCTTTAAGATCTTTTCATATTCCGTTTCAGATCAACACGGGAGCTCTTTCAGTTTTGAATAATCCTGTTTGTATGAAAATGTGATGTTTGGTGTCATCAGTTTGGACCTTTGGGGGCAGAACAGTTCCTGAGAATGTAGACAGTCATTTTTCTAAACAGATGAGAGAACAGACAAACAAGATCAGACACAGAACGGCCTCAGAGATAAAACCGTGTGAATAATGAAACCTACGAGGCCAGAGCGCAACAACGACCTGATGACTGAGTCACTTTTAAAAGAGTACTCCACAGATTCATCATCGCACTCCTGTAACCCTGTCAGACTCTAAACAAAAATGATGCAGCAGAACCAGAGATACCATCTTTCTTTATTCCATGCATTCTTCTTTCCTTGTCAGAACCTGACACCTGCATTACCCACAATGCAAAGCCTGTCTTTTATTCAAAACTTGCCATTGTGCATTCATTTGGATTGTAAACATCTCACCAAGTGATGAGAACATGTGGTTTAATCACCAAAACACAAAATAAAGTTAGCTTTTCCGGTTATTTGTTTTACCTACCAACGAATCCAATAACAAGCAAAGCAAAATACTGTACATGTTTCACATCACTTTAGAAGTGCACAAAGTACTATGCTACAGTACTGTAAGAGGCAAATTACACAGTTTTCACATCAGGCAATACACTTTCATTACCCAACATTTACAGAATCTATCATTTCCATAATATCTATCCTATATGTAATCAAGATATCATCATTAAGACTTCTTCTCCACGCAAAAGATTTAATGGCAACATAGAGGTTTGTCTAATTTGTCTAATCAAATATAACTCTGAGCCTGTCCACGAGCTCTCTGATTGATTCCACTGGAATTGCTGGTGTTCACATCCATTTTTGCAGTATATGGTTATGAATTGAGTTTTCCACCATGTGAAATTAGCAGTGTAATTGTGGATGGTAATCATGCAATGTATTTTAATGTATGGTACAAACTGTAATCATTGCAGTGGGGATTTGTGGCTCTGTTGTTAGAGCACTAAGCTACCAAAACTAAGGTTGAATCCCACTGAGGACACGTAAACATTGGAAACAATGAGCATAATGACAGTACAAGGTATTTTAACAATAGATTAGAAAATCTAATTAAAAGTAACGCATGTACTTTGTATGAACATAATGTATTTCAATGCAAATGCAATGTCTTTCAACATGTTCCTGTTATACTCACTAAATGTCAGATGTACTTATAGTTGTGAAGAAAAGGTATTTTTTAATGGTCTGTGGTGTTTGTTGTACTATGAGTGGTGAAATATTACCACATACTTGTGTGAATAGTACCATAGCAACAGAAATAAACTATTACTTTCTGCGACATCTAAAAAATAAAAATGCATAAACTCCTAATTGGGACACTGAGCTAAGATTTTTATTCCTTGATGAACTCTGTCACTTTTAGATGTTTAAGGCTCCACGGCCAAGTTAGCACCAACAAATATGCAACGTCCTGTAAAGTTAGCAACAATAAATAGCCAGGTGTCCGATTAGACTTTCAAAATAAAACGCTAGCGTTTCGAAACATCGCCATTTTGAAACGGGAAGTTATTAAAGTCGTGAAACGTTGCAGTTTGTACAAAAAGTACTTGGTTAAGGTTCGGAAAAGATCCTGGTTTGGGTTAAAATAACTACGTATGTCAGCTAACACGTAAGTTAACTTACGCAATTTACATATCTCCCGTAACTTAAATAAAAATATTTAATGTTGATTTTTTTTTGTTTCACACAGGACACAAACCCCAATCTCCTGGTTTAAAGTCTGGGTTCTGGACCTCCATCCACCCCAAGGACCTCCTTACTCAGTCTATTCTGTTAAATATCATAAACCTGCCTTTACCGTCACAAACTGACGCTTCTATTGATCACTTTTAAAGCTCTTCATGGCCTCTCGCCTTGTTATATTTCTGACCTTTTAGTCCCATACGCACCAGCACGTACCTTGAGATCCTCGGGCAGAGGTCTGTTGTCTGTTCCAGAGTCTCGACTGAAAACTAAAGGGGACAGAGCGTTTGCTGTCAGGGCCCCGAGGCTCTGGAACAGCCTGCCCGAGGAAATCAGGTCGGCCGAGTCAGTTTTTAAGCTTTTAAGTCCCTTCTTAAAACATACTTTTATAGGAGAGCCTTTCCCGATCTTATTTGACTTTATTTTATCCCTTTTATTTTATTCTATTTTACTAATTTTATATTTATCTGTACTTTAGTCTTTTCAATGTTTTCATGCTTTTATCTTGTATTGTTTTTTGTATTATTGTCTCTTGGGTATTATTGTCTTTACACTTGTTAAAGCACTTTGTAACTTGTTTTTGAAAAGTGCTCTACAAATAAGGATTATTATTATTATTACAGCCCCCCCCCCCACGGCGCTGACCTATGACGCTACAGGGATCGTGCGTTACAAACTGACGCCGATGGGTCTTGACCCTGCGTCCATATGAGTCGGGCTGAGAGAGCGGGTTGACAGGAGAGGACTGGAGGTGTGACGTGGATGTAGAAGACAGGGTTGGACAGCACGGTTTTATTTCTGTATCTGTAGCTCCTCTATTCAAGTGTCTACAGTGATGTGTATAGTTTTGTATCGCATTATTAGAGTTACTTTCGTTTCATTTTGTTCTCTTGGAATTACTCTCTTGTTGTAACAGTCTCGGTTCAAGTAAAATAAATAAAAGACACTTCAAACACAACAGTGCTCCATTTTGAAATGCTACCAGTTGTTGTTTCAGGTCATTGTGTTCTGAGACAAATGCTGTCAGTGTTCAGGCACAGGAGAGGATCCTGAGGTGTGGAGGAAGTGTTTGTTTAGTGAGCTGCCTGTTGGTGAAGAGAACTGTGCAGAAATAAGCGTAACATGATCGGGACACAACTTTATGTCGGATAGAAACTTGTAATTGGCACTGTACATAAAATGGGTTAAAGGGTTAGGTTCATTCATTAGGTCAAATGGCCAATCAGAGAGCTCTCTCTAAGGACTTGTACATGCTGAATCATCCAAACAGCTGCAGATAAGGCTGACTACAACTAATAATGCTGGGAAACCTGCAGGTGACGGTTAATCGTAAGCACTAAAAGATGGCTCAGTGATGGCCAGATGATGGCCAAGGTGGTGTGTCAGCGGTCCAGGTGGCAGAACGGAGGCTGAGCTGACGAGAGACGAAGGTTCAGAAAAGCTCTGATAAAAGAGAGAGGGAGAAAGAGAGGGGAAGACAGAGACAGCAAGAGAGAGTTTACAAAATAGATTCAGGGAGGAAAAGAAGGTGAGGCAGCACGAGAAGCAAAAAACCCGCAGATCATAAATAATTCAGATACAAGTTGTTTTTATAAGAGCATGGAAAAAAAAAATCAGACGAGGACTACTTTCACTGAGCAGCGACTCAACTCTGAGACGAGCGCTTTCACCGCGCACGCGCACACACACACACACACACTCATCAGCATCTACTTTTATAAAACACACACAAATATATACGCGCAGCTATTCAAGGTGAGGCTGAAAGATCCAGAAGAGGCATCATATGCAAATAGCCCATATGTGCTTGCTGTCAGAGCAGCAGTCTCACAGGCACGCTGGACACACATAGAGTTAGGAGTGTGTGTGTGTGTGTGTGTGTGTGTGTGTGTGTAGGTGACAGCTGATAGTTAGGATAGCGTGTTAGTGGTGGGGTGATAGGTCAGATGGGACGCCTAAAAGACAGCTGAACGACCGTCCTGAGAGGCCTGGGCGGTTACTGTACACTACACACACACACACTAAACACACACACACACACACACACATACACACACGGGTTTACAATATAATTAACCTTCTCTGACCCGCCTTCTGCTTTCTGCAGGACTTGCAGGAAACGTGGCGGCGTATTTTTTTAGCTGACAGTTTTTTGAAAGTTTAAAAAATGATTTTAAAAACCACAGAAGCAAAAAGTCCAGGTGAAACACTGAAAACAAAAATACTACCTGCAGCTTTAACACGCTGTAGTTTTTGTACAGCTCAAACCAACAACACTATAGGCTATTTTTGCAAACTCTACACCACAACAACTCTTCAAACCCTTTTAAAAATTTTACTTTTGCATGAATACAGTTAACACAAACCATCTTGCAATAAGCACACGAAACAGCACCCACGCACTGTACTATAAATCAAAAACAATGTGCAGGACTTAAGAGTTTGCAATGAAGTTTTGTCATGCATGTAATACAGTAAAACAAAATGTGTATGGATGTGAATTCTGATCAAACTCAAGCTCAGAGGAGGAAAACAGAAACATCTCGCCTTCTTTGCGGGTTTGGAAGAATTCATCCACATCACACGCGATGTTTTAATCATCTAAAAGTGTTTTCGCATCATCATGCCAGTTGGCAAAATGGTGTAGTAAAATAGAACCCAATGTTTACAGTTTTGCAAAATGTGTAAAGCAGAGAACGTGCATCAGTTTGGCGCATTTGGTTATGGCATCGGCTACAAGAGTTGAATGTTTCAGAAAAAGTGCTTAGAGCATTTAGAAAAAAAGCAGGTCTTTTTCTTCTTTTTAAACATTTTAATCTCCACTTTCTCTCAGTTTAAGCTTTTTCTGAGCGACCTCGCCACCAGTGGCGTCTGTTCACTGTAAACTGAACTGAACTGTGAACTCTGACAGCAGGAAACTCTGATTGCGTGATGCATTCATGAGCAGGGAATGCTGTGAAATTCTTCCTCGTTGGTGTGTTAAAGACGAGAGTCTGAATCAGCTGCAACAACAACAACAACAACAACAACCTCAATTCATACGATCCTCTTCACAAAGTCTGTGTTTGCTTCTGGGTTTCATTTGAATTTATTTTAGTCACACAAAATCAAACACAACAGTACTAAGGTATGACTGATAACCCTGAATATTTATCTGCAGCATTTTTCTCTGGAAGTTGTTTTTCAAATAAATTATCTGAAAACTACCTGGAAGGAAGGCATCAATCTAAAAACTGATGAAGTGGAAAACACTGATTGGTAGTTAATGGACTTAAAAAGGAAAAACCAGCAGTATCGTCTTTTAAGTACTGCCTGCACCATGAGGCTCACTGTATTTGGATTTTACTTATTTTCATCCAAAACACTATTTTTTTTTAAAGAATCAGATTAAAAACTGATCTGAACCTGGGGCCCATTAAACCAAATTTCCAGCATCTAAGCTGTGTTCTGCAACATCTTTTCAGTCAGTCATACTCGCAAGCACACAAGAGTCCTGCAGGACTTGCAAATGTATCTGCAATTTGCAAACAGCAACCATTTGCCATTTGCACATAAGCAAAGCTCTCAGAGCACTTTTAAATTTTAGACTCAGATTTTACTTCTGCAAGAAGACACTGCACTCTGCAGTCCACAGTAAACACGGTCCTCCAGAAAATTGGGGGTAAAATGCAATTCAGCTGCAAAACTGTCTGATGATGTCCACATCTTGCAATAACTCGCCACACATCATTCATCGAGAGAGAGAGAAGAAATATCTTAAAATTATAATTATGTATGAGATCCTTTTCATGTAATTATACATATGTGGTGATTATGTGATCTGTTCCTCATAATTATGGGATGCTAAGTCATAATTACGAAATAGGGAAGTGATAATAATAAAGGAGACCCATTATTCTCATTTCCAGCTCCAGCTATATTTTATTTTTGGATTCCATCAGAGTAGCTTTGCATGATTCACAGTTCAAGAAATCCTTAATTATCTTTGGAAATCAAGTTGGAAAACAGCGATTAGCTATGGAGCGCTGAATTTGATGCATTTACTGTTTATCAGACAACAAAAACGATAGTCGTGTTTCATCGATTCCTGTACAAAAACAAACAACTTTTATAACTTTATTCACTGAATTGAAGACGCTTTCTGGTTTCCCCTCTGCTGTCCACCAGCGGCTCCAATGAGTTCTCACTCCAGAGTCGTCTCATACAGGCGCTCGCTCAAGACCTTGGCGTAATCTTTCAACTACACGTGTTTTATTTCAACTGGACACTGCCTATTTATTAGTTACAGCAAGTCCAGAAATTATGCAAAAGGGAACCCAGGGTGTTAAAAAGTGGCACCATGGGGTCTTGACAAAGCGTCCAAATATGAGGAGCTGGTAGTGAGACCGCGTTGGGCTGCTCTGCTTCAGCACTTTGTGATTTATGGAGTTTCTTGATGGACAGACAGCTTTAAAATAACCGCTGCTAGCTTTAGCTTCCACCAGCTAGTTAGCTCAGCTTGCCACGCAGCTAGTGGACTAGGAGCATTCAGAGCAGCGAGCCTTCTGCTCACAGGGACTACTTTTACACAAGTTTACCGCATTATTTGAAACTTTGGCCATGTTAAGTATGAACCTCCAACCCTGTAACATGTATACAACAACAACAAGAAAAGGGAAATAATGCACTTTAAGTGAAATCATCTCCAGATTTTGGCCATGGTGTTTGTCTGAACAGATTTTCTCTCCTAAGTTCAGTTTTTCAATCTAAAACGCCTTAAATAAGGAGCTCTGAGCGTGTGCAGTACATCTCTTTGTGTCACCAGCGTTTCTGTCTCTTTCATTTGTCCAAGGTGACATTAAAGTTTCCGACAACTACAAGGACGAGTCGTCACATGAATGCAGCCCGAATACATGTTCACAGTATATTTGTATGTGCAGTCAGTTTGGCTGCTGCTGCTGCAGACAGACCTCTTAATATTTGATGAGCTGCCAGATGGCACAGTGGAGCCTTTGATAACCATCTTTAATATAGGTAGTCAAGCACACCTCTGTGTGTGTGTGTGTGCCTCGATGGTGGGGCTCCTGCGATCAAAGAACCCACCTCTAATGGCAGACACACGTCAAGAGCCAGACGTACAAATCAATAATTCAACCAAACACACACAGACGACACACACTGGGGCTCTGCCAAAAGTGGGGAGTTGGCTGAGGCGGACTTTGGATGAATGTCAGAAATAGACAAGAATATCTGAACTAAAGGTGAGGCTCAATTTTGTTTGTGAATTATTTATTTATAGAAGAGAGTCTGTTATTTGTCTTTTGCACCAACTTTGTGAGTTTGAGTTGAACATTTTATTCCTATGGAGGAACAAAAAAGACGTTTTTTTAACCCGGGTAACAGGTGAGGACGGGTCATAAACGCTCGGGGTCATTGACAGATCCAGAGGTAGAGGCAAACTCTGTCTCGCTAGCTGGAGTTCTTCATACTGCTGCATGTTACCCAGGAGCCAAGTGTGGGGTAAGCCTTACTTCTTAGATGTTTACAGACGGACTGTCACTGCATAGAGTGCAACACCTGAGTCTAGCTTCCAGTAGGATGGCTACGCATATTTAGGCCAGTAAAGAATGATCTTGTCTGGCATAGCAAAGGGATGAATGTTGTGTGGATCAAGAGGGCTTCTTCACATTGTGGTGTTGGCTGCCCGTTGTGTTCTCGACGATCTCCCCGGCCCCCGCATTAATAAACAACGCTCTGTAAGACATCCCGAGTTTTCCTGACATCTTCTAAAAATAAGAGCTGAGAATTTTCAAACAAACTTTTTAACTTAGCCTTGATTTTTAAAAAACTTTTTTATTAAACCAGTATTCGAGCAAGTTATGCAGACTGCAAGACTTTGTGCTGTGACAATGCTGACAATGTCACCTGACGACTCTTTCACGTTTTGTCAACAAAACATATGCAGGAAGTGACGTGGGAAATGATTCGAAACATGAGCCAAACAGGAATTGTTTATTATTACAGAGATAAAAACTTCAAAGACAAAGAATATGGGTGAAAGAATGGATTAGCATGTGCGGGCAGCAGGGATTGTCAGAGAGGGGAGAGGAGTAAAAAATGTTTTGTAATGAAAAAGCAGCTGCCTGCTCTCATTGGCTGGATGTCAGCTCCACGTGTCTGTTTGGCGTCGAGTAGCTCACACATATGATCGCGCGTCGATCGCTCACTGATCTGCCCCCCGATCACCCCCCACTGTCGCCGAGCTCAGGGTTAAAATCGTGTAGCATGAACTAGGCTTTAGCCTCACGGGGGTTGAAAAGCTAAAAACAGATACCAGTACTGAGAGTTTAAATAAGCTAACAGCAGAGCCAATGCTTTCGCAAACTATTCCAAGTGACTGGAGCAGAAAACATGCAGGCTTACAGCAGAGAAATGTTTTGTCATCTGAGATAACGATTGCACAACGAACTCTATAATAAGTTTGAAGGGATATGATGGACGTTTGCCTAAAATGGCTTCAAAAATAAAAGTATACCAGTGACTCAGTCGGCCGAGGTGGCGTGCCAACTCCGGTTTTAGATCTGGGACAAAGGTCAACAGGCTATGATGAGTCCGAAGTGTTGAGAGGCTGTGCTCATGCATTCAAGTATAACAAATCCCAAATCATGAACTAGGGAGGAGGGCTACAACATGTTCGACATTTATCAAACCAAACACCAACATATTAATGACAGGGAACAACTTCAACCCTCCACAGTGACAGCGTCTGTAGACTTCGTCAGAGCATTAGAAGGTAACATGGCTTTGTTTGCATTCAAAACAAGCATGAGGTGAATGTGGTAATTCACATACTGCAAATCTTTTGTTTTACTTCTAGTAGTTTTGCTACTGAAGTTAAGTATTTGACAAATTAAAATATGATCTGATGATGGTGCTAGATGAAAAAAGGATCACTAAAGTTATTACAGTTCATTCTGAGGGGAAGATGAATGTCACTTAAAAACCACAAATGTCCGCCTCATGGTGGCGATACAGCAAAAGTCTGGATGTGTCAGCTAGAAACTAGCTGACAGCAAGGCTAAAGGTGACAGTCTGCCCTGCTGAAGTCTTCTTCTGACAAAAAAGCAGCTGTAAAGTTCAGAACTTTACATCATGTTATTTGTGCAGATTTACTTGCGGTTTTGCAGACCGTGTTTATTCGCCACCATGCACCATGTTAGCTGTAGCTAGCTAGCAGTGTACACACTCCTTTTCCTCTCGTCTCCATGTATTCATTAAGAGGAGTCACAGAACCAGGCAACATTTTCACAATAGCTGAAACATTTTGAACAAACGTAAACGCCTCTTCACTTCAATATGTGTGGCGAAGAGAAAATTCAAGTCCACTTTCTTTCCATTTGCTTTATATCAGAATTTGCTTCCTTTCTTTGTAGCGACATCAACAAGTCTGCAGGACCCAAACTGCAAATGAGTTGGAGAGTTAGAATTTAGATCCATGAGGTGCTTTGCATCTAAAAAATGAGAAAACAGTTAAATTAATGAATCAAACTGGGCTGCAGCATCACAGATATTTTCCCAGTGAGGTCACTGTCAGCCTGATGATCACCAAAGTTTGTGTCTGCATAAGTGTGTGAGTTCCTCTGACATTATATTATATTAAGTATAATATTACTTCAACTTGTTATGATGATTGGCACATTTAGGCTCAGGCAGGGTCTACCCAAAACAATAAATGTAACGCTCTATTAGCACCAAACTGCTTAAACTAAATTGGATTAAATCTGGATAATTAGGATTGGTATTTTAGCAAAGCTAAATTTGAGTGAGAGGCACTTTAAATGGGAAAAATATTCAGAATATCTGAGCCATAAAACATGAATATCCAAAGGGAAACATAAAATGAGATGGGAGGAAATTAACTCTGCCTCTGACACAACATCCATCTCAACAGGTCATTCAGTGTAATAATAAGACAAAGCTCATTCAACTTGTTCCTGATTCCTTTCTTTGAGCAAGTGTTCAGAAAGTGTGTAGAAAGAAGACATATTAAGCAGATCCACTAGTGTTGTAGTCAAGACAACCACAAACCGAGACCAAGTCAAGACCAAGACCAGAGTTTATCGAGACCGAGACAAGACCAACACTTTTAGGGGCTGAGATCAAGTCGAGACCAAGACCAGTTCCCCACATTACATGACACACAGTAAAATGTGGATCGAGATCAGAGGTGCTTCTCAAATCGATCTGAAAGATCAATGTGAGCATCTTTATCCAACACTCCTTTTCCATGCTGACCATCGCGTTACGGGAACAACACATTTTTAATTAGGGTCATTGGTTGCATTTGAAGCAATACGTTTTACATCCAATCAAAGTTCGGATGTTAACAAATAAACCAGACAATGCAAAAGCAATTTATTGATATTCCCAAAGTTACGGCCTTGAAATAAAATCCAGAGTCCTCAATGTCCGAGACAAGACCAAGACCATCAAAAAGTGGTCTTATGAGTACTACAACACTAAGATCCACACAGTCAAGAACATTACACTGGAAGCAAGTTGGTTTACATTGAAACAGGTGAAATCACACCACACTGAAGCTATTTGGTTCATTTTTTAAAAACTATTGATCAGCCAAAAGACAACAGAGAAAAGCCATGAGCATGGCCTTTAACTCCAACAAGGTTTGTGAGCAGCAGGTAGAGGCCTGACCCGAGAAAGTAAGAACGAACAGTGAAAGAACAGAAAACAGTGAGTGTACATACAGTAATCGTGTTTTTTTTTTGCGGCAGTGTTTTTGTACACCAGCGAGTCTTCTGGGAGAGCACTGAGATCGTAGCTCCAGCTGCCTCGGGCATGAAGAACATCACATAATCTTCCCCTTCATGATTGCATGATTGCATATCAACAAATCCCAGAGTCTCTAACCAGCCCAGATATGACGGCTGCAGACAGATGAGGAACAGTTTCAGAGTGAATTACAGTACAGAAACAGAATATCGCCGCTCCCTGCTGCTCAAAATGCAAAGGTTGTGTTTTGCGAATAAAGACTGAGAGGAATGAGTTTCCCATATAGAGGAGACTAATGCTAATGCTCAAATACGCTTCTTTAGAGGTTCATATCTGTACATGCAGAACGCTGCCTGAGGGCCTTATGTCATTTTGGGACAAATTCCCAATCAACCTATTTTGTTGTTTATGAGGACCTGTTGACTTTACATTCATGGTATTCACTGAACAATATTTGTATGTATACAATATCTCACAAAAGTGAGTCCACCCCTCACATTTTTGTAGATATTTAATTATATATTTTCATGTGTAACGCTGAAGAAATGACACTGTGCTACAGTGTAAAGTAGTGAGCGTACAGCTTGTATAACAGTGTAAATTTGCTGCCCCCTTGTTTTTGTGAGATACTGTACATGAATGTAGATTACATCATATAGATTCAGGAGACACTTTCAAATCAATCTTTCTCAACCTCATCCAAATCACAAAGGTGAACCTGCTCGGGATGGTCAGTAAGCTCAACACTACTAAATCTTCTCAGTTTTGGTTTGCTTAATGTTTCTTCTCACCATTTTCCTTTATACTTTTCAAATAGCAGAAATGTAGAATAACTAATACAAGGCAACATATTTCTAAACATATACTGTGAACCACATTTAAAGAATAACTCTGCAGGTTCCCCACACATAGCTGAGCAATCCCAGTGAAAGATTTGTTTGGTCCGTCTATTGTCAGACATGTTAATTAGCCTGCTTGCAGCACGCCATCCTTTTTCCTAGCGTCACATGGCTCCCATCTCATATCACCACAACATACTGACAGTAGCCCTTACTGTCAGCATTTTAAGCACATCAAAAAACAGAAAACGAATAGCTTTGTTTAACACCTTTTTGTTTGCCTACAGCCCCAGACCCCTGCAGCATGTATGTACTGTAACCAAGGCTTTTACAAAGCTCAACCTCGTTCAGAAACGCCTCTGCCCGGTGTTAGATTGGTTTCTGTGGACCATGAATGTCAAATAGCGTCAGCACATTATGGTCTATATGACTGCGTCTCTCAGTTTGAGATCATTCGAATAGATGTTGAGAGATAAGAGACCTGCAGTCTCTCTGTCTTTGTACTTGTTCTTCGCCTTCAGTGTTGGATCGTGGGTGGTTTTGTGCCTTTGCATCTTTGCGCTGCATCATCAAGGACAGTTTTCCCACACTGGTGACAGTTAGCCAATATTCTCTTTTTATTCCATTTACAGAAGCACTTTCTGTATCGGCTGTGTGGCCCCTGATCCGTTCAACAGAACAGTCAGAGCACCGAGCGAGTGTGGTAATGTTTAAGTGTATGCGCTGTGGCTTTTAGCCGTGGCACGGTGACATTTCCTGAGCTGGCGGAGCAGCAGAGGTGAACAGTTACTGGGGTGTGACTTGCCAAAGTGTGGCTGTAATAAAGACCTGAGAGGACGGCTCCTGTCTGCTCCGACCTCCATTACTGTGTGATTGTGGGGGCCCGGGGAG